TCTGTCCCCCATGATTCCATTCAGATACAATCCCCATTAGGCCCCATGAATCATTGTACCTATTTAAATGGAAGCTGCATACTTGCAGACAACACCACATTAATATGGAACCCAACCCCTAATAAACAATGTCGATATATTTTAATCGGGGAATTCTCAGGACACTTCATGACCGATATCTGGTTAGGGGATAACATTGACATCGGACTCTCCCTAAAGAGCAACGTATCAAAGATAATTGACTGTAACAGAACCCTGCTAATAACAGAGCAGGGCTTTGCTTACGAACCAATCAATTCTAAAACCCGATCTAAAAGAGCCATATCTTGGGAAAAGGACTGGGACCATGAAAGCCTTATTACCGATAGTCAGTTAGAAGGACAGCTCACCTACCTCGACCATGAGCTGAAAGAATCACTAATCTTTCAGTTCTCTCACTCCCTTCACCAGCTTTGTGAGTTCGCCGAAGAAACTCGGAAATGGACCACAACTGCGCTACTCTCCAACCCCTCGACTCTGGCCCGTGCAATTTTAAGTAACCCCAATATAATCGCACGACATATTTCGGGCACCACGCTCAAAATATGGCCGTGTGTTCCACTCACTACCACCCAATACAATTTCTCCCCAACAAACCTAGACACATGCTTCGACCTCCTTCCAATAAAAATTAAAACACAAGGGAAAGACGAGCTTGCTTTTCTTGACCCTTCAACTCTAGTTATCTCGGCAAAAGCGCGCAAAGCCTCTTGTTCTCAATATAGGAAAATACCGATACAGATAAATGGTACATTCAAAGAAATAGATCAAATAACAGGCGAAGAAATTATTTTATATACCCAAGTTTTTAATAGCAAATCCTTTCACGAAATAGACGCGCCAAAAATCCTTCCACATACCTTTCACCATCTAGTATTAGTAAACCTCACTGACATTATTACCCACTCTTATCTCTCTAGTATGGCCCAAGTCAGTCAAATAACTTTTAGGATTGAACAGCAGAATTCGGCTGTTAAATCAACAATGTCGACTGACTGGGAAGAAGTGCGAAAAGAGATAATAAACGAAACAGTAGGAGATTGGTCCCAAATACAAAACACCTTCTGTTTTATAGTTTGTATAATCGCCTTTATAGACATCCTTATTAGAATTTCAGCTGTGCTTATAGAGAATTACCTTAAAAATTTTACTATAATCCGGGCAATAGAAGATAAATTAACACCAAGGAAAAGTACCACTAAGACACCACAAGACCCTGAAACCAAAAAATCTGAAAAATCTGACGCTAACAAAAAGCATCAGGCACTCTTTAGAAACCACCCCTCTCAAATTGTATTAGAACTTGGCCGTCCACTTGAAGGACAGCCAAGAAAATGGCCTCCATCAGTTACCAAATTTCCCATAGTTTTTCCTCCCGAACCAAAACCAAATTCAAACAAGGCCCTCCTCTCAAAATCCAACTATAAGAAACGATCCCACTCCTCAAGCGTACTTATTGAATTTCTAAGCAAAATTGATCCGACTTCAGACGGACCAACACTCATTTATAATTACCTACCTGTAATAAATGCAACCTTTGACTCCATGAATGTAGACTGCCTTATTGACACGGGATCCACGGTTTCACTAGCACCAATAGAACTTATAACTTTTTTGGGATGCCCTATAACTGAAGGAGAAATTATTGTTACAACTCCATCAGGTCACAATGTTCCAATAATAGGGAAAACGAAAGTTGAAATTATAATTTGCAGCTTTTCAAGGGAACTAGACCTTTATTTAGTACCCGATGATAAATTTATAGGTGAAGGGACCTTTCAAGCTATACTTGGGTGCAATCTTTTTGCACTCCTTCCCCCAATCCACATCGACTTCACGCACTGTTTTTTTCATGTAGGAGAGGAGTGTACATCCCTAATTAACCCACATACCACTAGTCCTTATTTACTTACCATCCAAAACAACCTACATAACTCAACAATTACCGCATATATAAACAATTCCCAGTTTCGCTGTTTAGCGGATACTGGAGCAACCTTCACAGCAGCCCCTCTAAGTATTGCAGAAAAATTAGGAAGCCCCATAAAATATGAAAGACTAGGAGCCGTAAGCGCCTCTGGTCATCATATGCCAATAATTGCCTCAAGTAACACAGAAATCTGCGTTGCTGGATATCTAATACCCCTTGAAATTAAATTCGTAGATGATAAACATTTTCACAACTCCAAAGATTATGATATAATCTTAGGATGCGATACATTTGCCAAACTCCCACCCTTAACATTTAATCATAATGAAAATACACTAACCATTGGCAACAATGTCACACCAATGGGCGTTACTCCTAAAATACGATCATCCATAGGAATTCGAGCCTTCAAGTCAATAACTATTCCACCCGAAAGCCAATCTTTAGTTCCAATAAAGATTGACCCAAACATTACTCCCCAGCTCTTATCAATTGACACACTAGACAAGAGACTTACTGAACAAGACTTTTGTTTAATCCCCACACTTATCCAACCGAAAAATAATATAGCCATAATTCCTTTAATTAACCCCACCCAGGAGCCTAAAAATATTTACCAAAACATGACCATAGCATACGCGACCGAAATAAATTTTGACCCAAATCTCCAACTTTTTAGGGAAAATAATTACAATTCTATTGGATCTGTAGAACTTACAAACCAAACATCCCTTATAGAAAAAGACCCAACATTCATAATCGACTTTTCTAAATCTTATGTAAAAGGGAATGACCTGGAAACCCTCAAATCACTTTGTGAAGAATTCTCCGACATATTTAGCAAATCTCAATATGACTTGGGTTCATGCAAAGCCGGTTCCCACAATATCGTCACAACAACCCAAGAACCTATTACCTCAAAACCTCACAGAACCCCCTTCAAGTACCGCGATGAGCTCAAAAAGCACATCGACCAATTATTGAAATCTGGAGTAATGATCCAGTCAGACACGCCATGGGTATCCAATCTGGTCCTAGTTCAGAAAAAAGATGGAGGATTAAGACCCTGCATCGATTTTCGAAAACTAAACGAAATAACTGTACCAGATCACTTTCCCCTGCCCCGACTTGAGACTATTATGGAAAAAATAGGCAATTGTCATTACTATAGCTCACTAGATCTATCCTCAGGCTATCTTCAGATTCCTTTAACTGAAGAAGCGTCACGAAAATGCGGTCTAATCACAGAAGAAGGTGTCTTTCAAATGACCCATCTTCCGTTTGGACTGCGCAATGCTACCGCAGCCTTTAGTCGAACAATGTCCCATGTACTTTCCGGTGTCGAGAACGTACTCACCTACGTTGACGACATCTTAATATACACTAAATCGCCAGAATTCTCCGCTCATTTAGAAACACTACGGAGCGTTTTCGAACGCTTTCGATTATTTAATCTAAAACTCTCCCCGAAAAAATGTAAATTCGCAACCAGCTCAATGGAATTCTTGGGATACACTGTCTCTGGAAACGGATTCATACCCTCCCTGTCGCGCATCGAAGTAATTAAAAATATTCCCGCACCTAAAACCCTTAAACAAGTCCGTAGAATTGTTGGAATGGCAAGTTTCTATAGAAAGCACATACTAGGATTCGCAACAATTGTCGAACCTTTAACCAGTCTAAATAAGAAGAATAAAATTTTCGAATGGGGACCAAAACAGGAGCAAGCTTTTCAAAAAATAAAAGAACTTCTTGCCAAGGAACCAATACTTACCTTCCCAGATTATAAAATGCCATTCCACATTTTTACAGACGCCTCAACTGTAGGACATGGCGCAGCGTTGATGCAGAAACGCGACGACAAATTTCATGCAATCGCCTACGCCTCCCGTAGTCTATCACAAAACGAGAGAAAATGGCCTCCAGTTCAGATCGAACTTGGAGCCATAATATATGCTCTCAAACCTTTCGCCCATATATTTACCTGTCCGAGGTCGAATTACATTCAGACCATCGCCCCCTCATTTACCTTCAATCCAAATCCCAACAACACCCACAATAAGCAAGATGGCTAATTGAAATCCAAAATTACAATATAAAGATAGTACACATAGAAGGCAAGAAAAACACACTTGCGGACGCTCTCTCTCGCTCGCATGAATCAAACCCTCTCACAAATACCCCAGAACTTGAAGACATAATTGAATTCCCTGTCTGCCTATCACTAAATATATGCGACCGTATTGTCCTAGACCCAATAATTAATTCACTAACAATCAGAACAAGAGATGGACCTCAAACGGTCGATCTCGTGTTAGAGCAAACGAATGACGCTGAAACCTCTCCTATAATTAAATTCCTTACTGATGGAACCCTACCAGACCTGGACGAAGAAGCACAGCAAGATTTTGTAGCAAAAACACAAAATCTTGTAATCTCATCAGACATTCTCTACTTTTACCCCCCTGAATCATTACCCAGGATTTATGTACCAGCCTCTCTCCGCTCACTAATTTTTGACTCCTTTCACATCTCAATCCTCGGGGGAGGTCATATAAATTTAAGGAAAACGATTCATAAATGCTCGCGGCGCTATTATTGGCCCAAAATGTATTCCGACATACTAATCTGGACAAAACAATGTTTGGTATGTCAACTCCGTCACAATCCAATTCCGCTATACAAAGCAGAAATGAGATCTGTTCCCGCTAATACCCTATTTGCCCGGATAGGATTAGATATAGCTGGACCTCTCCCTCTCACCGAAATGGGGAACCGACATATTCTTAATATTATCTGTTGGTTCACCAAATATGTTATTGCAATTCCAGTACCCAATACAAAGTCCCAAACAATAGCCTATGCATTATTTAAAAATGTTTATCTCAAATTTGGAGGTTGTACTGAGATATTAACCGATAACGCAACAACCTTCACATCTGAGTTTTTCAAATCCTTCTGCTCCCTTCTTTATATTAACAAGACTTACTCCACACCTTACCACTCCCAAGGAAACAGTGTCACTGAAAGATCATTCAGGACATTTCATAATATTTTAGCGAAATACATAAACCCTAAGGAACCAAATTTTGATGAGTTCCTCGATGCGGCCACATTTTGCTATAACACCTCTGTCCACGAAACCACTAAAGAGACGCCGTTCTTTCTTGTCTTCGGACGCGACCCTATATTCTCAATTGACCAAATCATGGACACCACTATCTCCACCCTTCCCCAACACACTGACCTCTCAGACTTTAAGACCCGACTTGTACTCTCCCTCAGAAAAGCTTGGATCTCAGCGGCAGAAGCCACCAAGCAAGCTCAAGACAAATCCAAAACCCAATATGATAAACACTCCCGGTCTCAAATCATTGCGATTGGAGACCGAGTCCTTCTTAGGAACTACACAGGAAAACCAGGAACATCCCAAAAATTCCATCTCCCCTGGAAAGGATTGTTTCGGGTAATAGACGCAGACGATATACACGCAACCATTATAAGTTGCACCTCCCCCCAATCGAAACCCCAAAGAGTGCACCTAAACCAGATTAAAAAATTTATAGGACCCGAGATAACAACACCTGCACTAACTACCCCAGAAATCCCATCAGAAGAGTCAGAAGCTTTAAAACAATCTCAGGCGGTAGAACTAGATGAAGTCATAGGATACAATCATGAATCGCCTGAAAATAGTAACCAAAACATGAACAAATCCCAAGACCCACAAAACCCCACAGGAATAAACCCGGACACTGAGATAAGAAACACTCACCAATACAATCTTAGAAGTAAGCGACAATAAACACAAACAAACCATAGGGAAAGCCAGCCTCACCCCCGCCCTCGTAATGTAACAATCCCCAAATATAAACCCTTATATCTTCAGAAAATAAAGTTAAAATACCCCTACCTGTCTCCACACTCACATTTCCGCAGGACATATTTTTTAAAAAGCCATCAACTATTGAAAGACGCAACACTCCGCGACGCGCGATAGCTCATTCGAAAGAGCAGAAAAATCTCTACAAATGTTATACTCGGGATACTCGAAAACCTCAGGAATCCCAAAATTTTTAGACTTCAAAATGTACATATAAATACACAACCCCTAACAAAAACAATAACTCAAGGATCATAAGAGCCTTGGGACATAATTATAATATCGAGATAATCTCATATCAACACATTACTGGTGTCGTTATATACTACCTTGTTATAGTAATCATTTTCTACAATATTTCATATCTAACACTCAACCTCTCTTAAAATCTAAAATCTTTTTCTTATCAAACTAAATCAATATTAACGTTTTTGAATTATAACAAATATACAGATAAATTTAATCAAAAAATGTCTATTATACCCTTTTATTCGACGACTAAAAAATATTCAAACTTTCAAACTTCCACCTGGCCCAAATAAAAATAGATGGAAAATCATTCCCCTCCACTGAAAACTATTACCAGTTCGTTAAAGCAACAACCCTTGGGGCCCAATTAAGCGACATTAATAAAATTTCCTCCACTACTCCTTCCTCTTCAAAATTAATGGCACAAAATATTGAGCAAGAGGCGACTTTAGCTCAAATTAATCTTTGGCAGTCAAAAAAGATCACTACTATGCAAACCGCACTCCTCGCAAAATTCACACAACATCCTCCCCTATTAGAATTATTATTAGACACATCTGACAAAATTTTGGTGGAGGCATCAAAGTCAGATGCTTTTTGGGGGGCATCTGCTAGCGAAGAAACCATCATCAAGACAGGAAAATGGAGGGGGTTAAATATTCTGGGAAAAATGTTAATGGAAATTAGAAAAGAATGTAAGTATCCCTTAAAAACTTTAAAATAGCTGCACATAACACTAAAGAACCGACTGAATAACACATAATAACCCTCCTCCTTTATTTCCTTTCTATTCTTCTTTAATCATATTAATTTTCTTCAATTAATATTTTGAATATAATTAATTAAATTTTGTTTAGAATGCCTCTTAAAAAAGTAGTAAAGAAAAGTTCAAAAGTAACTATTAAAACTAAGGCTAAAAATTTAATAAAAAGTGGAGAAAATACTAAAACGACAAAAATTGATTCTGGAATTGAAATGCCACCAAATCAGACTAATCCACCCCAAAATGGCCTACCAACAAAAATTCAAAAAAATCTTACCACTCCACCACAGACTACCCCTCCAGTCCTTTCTACCCCCCACCAGCAACAAATTGACATTGAAATGGAAGTTGATGAAAAACATACAAAAATGGAAATTGATCAACAACAACAAATTCCTATTAAAACTCAAAATTTTATTGAACAAAATCTTACTTCCTCTTCTAATAATGCTAAAACTTTAAATACTTCCCCACTAATTTCCAATCCCCATTATGAACCTTTAAGCAGTCCCGAACCTGAAACTGACAAAATTTCAAAACCCCACCCAATAGAGTCAACCCCCTCTCTAAAACTCCAAAATAACCCAATTCTTGAGAACACAACCCCACAATCCTTTTCAATCAATAACCCCCAACACATCACTACGGATACACGTAGCCATAGTGATTGGTCTCCACTTAATGATAGTTGGTCCCCTCTAAGACGTGAAATAAATACAACCCCTCCACCTACCCAATATTTAGATCCAAACAATATCCCTACCCAAACTTATACTCAGCTCCCAATCACCGGTCTGGAAATAAACAAGTACTTTATTTCAAGAACTTTTCCCCGTATTATAGCCGCCAAAGCATCCCGGGGCAATAAATCACTTCTTTGGCCCGACTTTTTGGAATTAGAACAAAACACTACCACCAAATTTGACATTGGTGACACAATACGTTTCGAAAGTTTCCGACCTCTCACTGCTGAGGAAATAAACAATCAACCTGTCCTTCCTCCCAAAATCTCTAATATAGGTATAGGACCAGAATTACTTAGTCCCCAAATTCCATCTCACATTGGTCAAGGATTCGTGCTCAGTACAAGAGATTTGTTGACTGAAGCAGGGAATCTGATTTGTCCAATGGCACTGGTAGAAACTGACTCCTCAATTCTTCCCAACCTAATTCCTCTCCACCCTGACCATAAACTAGAAGTCGGTTCTTTAATAGGTGTTGTATGCAAAACATTACCTCCAGGCACTATAGTATCTGAGGAATTCTTATTACCCCAATCCTTTACAGTTACCCCTTCACTTTCAAAACAACAAAAACGTGCCGGCCCGTCAACTACTTTTGCCACTGAAGCTACAAGTCCATCCGAGTTTGTTTTCCCCTTTTCATTAAAAAGAAATAAAAATAATGAAATTGATGTCCACAGAATAATAGCCGCCGCACTCCGCACATTAACGTACACTCAAACCAAAATTCATTCCTCTACTCTCATTTATACCAAACTTAACCCCCACCCCTTTCACAAAAATAGACCAATTTTTCAGATTAACCACACACCCAAAAATTTAAGAGAATTAGTTACATTCACTAAAATTTGGGAAAAAGATTCACCCCTAATTGCCACACTCGAAGATAACCCTGAAACTCCAATAGCCCAAGGAACAATAATAGACATTGTAACAATAGATAATTCTTTCCAACTCATCATCTCAGTATACCTTAAACAATTAGAAAACCAAGACGAGTATATTCCACCCCTTGAAGGCGCTTATGTGCACCTTCAAGTACCTTACACTCCCAATCAAATGAACAAGAGGGCAGATTCCTGGTCAGCACTTGAACCACTCCGACTCACCAAAAATTCATCCCCACAGGCAACATTGTTGAAACAGATTTTAGGTATTGACTCAAGACCTCTACTTAAAAACACCCGAGACCTCGCTCATGCCATATTTGCTTATGATTCTGAAACTCCTCCGAATGAAGAACAATTAAGAGCAATTGATCTCATTTTTAACCCATCCCCGTCCATAGTTGTTACATTAGCTCCCCCGGGAACCGGCAAATCACAAATTATAGGTATAATGGCCCTACAACTCATGAAAATAGATAAATGTCCAACTATAATTGCTCACAGTAACCTTGCTATGAGTAAAATAGTTGAATATATATGTCCCGAGCTCTCAAAATTAAACAAAACTGCACTGGTCCTATTATCGGCGAGAGCTAAGGAACAGTACATGGAACTCTTTAACGATTTTAAGGAACATTTATTAATTACTTCCCTCCAAGACATTGACATTGACTCCCTCAAAATTAAGGACAGAAGAATTGCACTCCGATATAAGGAGAAGGCATTCAGTAAACCAAAAATGGCTGATGAAAAGTCAACCGCCATTATTGTACTTACATCTGACATATCACCCCCTACTAGGTTATCAACTGTCTCGATGTGTGAGGACGTGTCGACACTCATTGTCAACACGACCCACCTTTTTATTGACGAAGCAGGCCAAACCCCAACCAGTCAGATAATCACATTTTAACCTATGCGACGAAATTAGAGAAAATTTTTGTCACCGGGGATCAAAAACAGCTGGGTGTTTATAAGGAGGACATCCCAAAATACCTCCACAAATATGGCTTCAACTCCATATTAAACCATGCACTGACCATACCCTCAATCCCAGTCATTAAACTTACAAAATCCTATAGAAGTCACCCAGCTTTAACAAATATAGTAGCCGAAACTTTTTACGATTTAGACCTAGAACCCGGGGTAACAGAGAATCAAAGAGCCGAAGCACTCACATTCCCCTTCCCAGTAAGTAATATACCTCTCCTTTTAGTACACACACCCGAAAAAGATGAGAGAGATAATCACTCATTCTCCCGTTTCAATACCTCACAAACACAAATAGCTAAATTGATAACCGAAAAATTCCTAGAAACCACCAATTTACCAATTGTGATTATATGTTTGTATAAAAAGCAAGTTGAAGAATTAAAACTCTTGAACTTGCCAAGAACCAAATGCATCACGGTCGATGCATACCAAGCTCGCGAGGAACAAATCATAATCCTTGTAACCACTAAGAAACTCCCAGAAAATATTACCGATTATAAAAATTCCCTGACCTTTATTAATGATCCCCACCGGGTAGCCGTTGCTATCTCCAGGGCCAAACAGGCTTTCTGCCTGATTGGAGACTTTGACACCCTTAATGAATGTGAATCCTGGCGGAAATTTATAAATATTGCCACCAGATACACACCCGTAATTAATCACAATTTACTTTTTAGACAGGCACCTTCATCTTCTTCAACTCAAAATGAACAACCGGCACCACCTCCATCAAAGAAACCACACATGGCTGGAATGACAACAAAACCCCAGTCAACCACACAACCCTCCAAATTCTCTAAATTCTCTAAACCAATCCCCCCATTGTTAAAGAATGCTAAAACATTCTCTTTCAATCAACCACCAATCCCTTCTCTTTTTGGTAATCCTACTTATACTACTCCCACTTTCTCTCCCTCTCCTTCTCCTTCCTCATTTCGTCCACGGTTTGATAATTCGCATTCCCAAACTCACACCCCATACTACCAACAATCTACCTCCCAATTCCCATCCACCTCTTATCATCACCCTCAACATTACAATCAATTTAATTTTCCACACCACCCACAATTTCCTCATGCCTCACAAAATATTCAATTTCACAATAATACTCAAATAAAATATTTTGACAACCATTACTGGCAATGGTGTAAGGTAAAACAAGAATGGTACAAGGTTCCCCCTCCCCCAAATAATTAATTAAAATTTAGTTATCAAATTTAAGTAAATTTTTAATAATTAAATTCCCCTTTCCCCCTTCTCCAAATAATTAAATTTGAAAATTTAATTGTCAAATTCAATTATTTCCCAAATTCAAACCTCCAACTCCTCCTTTTTCCCCTCAAAATTTTTTTTTGTTGTTCTCTTCAACCCGGCACATTAGAGATCAAACGGTGCTAAAAATAATAGTACACCATTTAATCTTTAATGCGCAAGGTGAAATTTCCAAATATACTTCCCCCACTTATCCCTTGTTTTAGCGGCGAAATAAATTCACCACTAAAACACCCAAATCCCCTACACCCAAAAATGAAACAACTCGTAAGCGCGAGGTCGCGCTTATTGAGGGGCGATAGATGTTACGCGGGACGGACCAATGCCAGACTTGAATACCCCCCACCAATGCCATTCCTTTCCCAATCCCCGACTCAATCATATAGGCTCTCCCTTCCCTCTCTTCTCTATCACTTTATCCACTTTTCACCCCCAAGCCCCACCCCCTTTCTCTCTACTACTTGATTGGAAGAAGGAAGAAGATGTTGGTTCATTCTCCTTCGTTTGTTTTTGTTTGGAATTGTTTTGGAATGGAGATGAGAGTTTTTATTGGATTTAATATTATTTTTGATTTTGCCTTGTATTTACTTTTATTTTTAAATGCCTTTCCATTTTTATTTGTTTTAATTATTTAAACCACTTATATATTTTTATGCCTAATAAATATTTTGTTGAATCCCGGCCTTATTTATTGAGATTAGGGAGTCCTCTGCGCCACCCCAATCCCGGCCCGTCGTTTTGTCATCTTGTCTTCCTCCCCCCTCCCCCCTTTCAGGCGCTCCGAAGATACCGGGAGGACGGTCGGGCGTCCAAGTCCTGACCGTCCGTCCCGCGTATAACTATATCATAACAATTAGGGGATAAAGTGTGACATCTGGGATTCTGGAATGATTGAATACAGAGGATTTGAGGAGGGGGCAGGGGGTAAATGTGGAGTTGTTTGGGAGTTGAGTGTACATAGATGTTATCTGGGAGTTGAGTATGAATGAACGGGGGCAATCTGGGATTTTAGGTTATTAAGAGGGATATAAGAGGATTTGGTGGCTGAATGCTAATATCTGAGAGTTGCTGATGACTAAGAGTTATATCAGAGGATTTGGAAATTAAGAATAATATTTAGAATTTGAAGATAAAGAGTGATATTTGGGATTGTGGTAATTAATTGGTATATAGAATTTGAGATAGTAATTACGAACAAGGTGATTAAGAGAGATATCGAGAGATTCTGGGGATAAAAGATGATATCAGGAATTTTGAGTATTAAATTTGGGGATTTCAAGAATACAGGAATAAATAGGATGATAAATAGCTCATTCGAAAGAGCGCGTCTAGCTGAGTCGAATGACACCAAAATCAGCTCGAGATCTTGATTATGAGCCAAGAAAAACAGGTTCAAAATGGTCAACGTAAACCTTTTGGGCGTAGGCGAGGCGCTTGTGCAAAACCCCGCGCTGCGCGCGGGATTTTGCGGCACGCGCCTCGCGGGGAGTCAACGGTTGCTGAGTTCCTGGCTCATAACATAATCCTATTCCTATCATGATGAGGTGCGCATTTGCAAAATTGAATTTTCACCCCAAAAATCCCCCCACAAATTTGACCATTTCGAGCCCTATATCTCGGTCCACAAGCATCTCCGGGAAAAAGAGTGGTACCGTTCGACTCAGCACCTTTTTCTACCCTATATATGACATTTTGATCATTAATTTAGGATGTTACGTCATAACGGAAAAGTACCAAAAGGTGTATTA